ATGAAACACAACACGCAAGCCATCTATCTACCTACAAGCAAGACATACGCTCACCGCAGCAGTTTGCGCCGCAAGAAGTCTTTGATCAGGCCATCCTTGCGGAGTCCCAGCAACACCCCGAGCACGCCCCGCTGCAGGTCCGGGCTCTGGCACTCCTGGAGACATACCACTGCGGCATTGACGCCATCGGCCTCCCCCGCCGCCGCTGCCGCCGCCGCCGTCACTTCCGAGCCGGGGTCCTCGACGGCCCCGTCCACGCCGGCCTCGCGGAGCACCCCGTCCTTCCACCCGCTGCCGTCGAGGCCGAAGGAGTCGCCGAAGTCCTCTTCGAGGAACGACATCCGGACGTACTTGGCCCTCTCGCTGGCGTCCATGCCGCGAGAACCGAGAGCCCCGCCGGGGGCCCTGTCGCCGCCGCCGGCGGCCTCGATAAAGGACGAGGCCGCCTGAACGTCGTCGGAGAGCTCCGAGCGCAGCATCGCGTGCAGCATCCGCATGCACGCGCCGACACACCGCTCTAGTGGCTCCCCCGCGGCCCCGCCGCTCCCCCCGCCCCCTCCACTGCCACTCGAACCATCCCTAAAGCCGCTGCCGCGCTTGCTCTTGGGGGTCACCGGCCGAGCGATGACGCTACCGTCTGCCGCGTGCGACGGGGAGGCGGCGGGGGGGGCGGCGGAAGTAGACGGACGCTTCTGGGCGCGGGGGGGCGCGCGGTCTGCGGTGCAAACGTGCACCCTGAGGACGTCGAGGAGGAGCTGGGGGCCGACGAACGCGCGGAGCTGGGCTACCCGACGCTCCGCCTGCGGTGGCGTTGATCAGCACGTGCCAAGAGTTGCGGCAAGGGATTGAGAATTATATAGCGCACGCAGAGCGTTGATAAGCACGTATAGAAGGTTACAGCAACAACGGAACGAAATCCTCAATCCATTCAATGTGATTGTCAAGACGGAAAAAAAACACACAAAAGATAACTACAAAACACATGGGCTGCTTTCCTGCAGATGATGCGCATTGAAAATTATCGTAGCACCGACATCTGCAAGCCTGAAACTGAGCACCGCCGCAAACAGGGCCAACACAGAGTAAAAATATTAACTTCGACAATAATCACTGCCAACACGACAGCCACAACCGTCGACAAACCTACCTGCCAAAATGCAGCCTACTTGTTCGCCAAGACAGACAGCGTGAACACACATAACGTGACCCAACGTCCGCCGGGGCAAGTTGAACCACTTACCACAGAAGACACCCCTTCCAACAGCAGCGCCTGTGCTTCTACCCCAGCGTCGGACCAGAGCCTGAAGTCCAAGAGAACTCCTTGCAGGGCCGCGCCAAGGAGTTCTACCTCCTGGAAGGCATCCACCTATTACCATGAATCCATCGACGCCCCATATTTTATTTTGGAAATGGACGACGGAGCCCAGCGGAGAGCACGGGGACGCGAGAGAATCGGGGTGACTTCGTGGGCGAAGCAAAAATTATCGGTTCGCTAGTGAGACAACCTCGGTGTCCAACACCGCAGTATATCCTGAGCATGCGCTAATCAAAGACACAGATCACCACGATCACCGGGAGCAACGACTGCCGCTCACACGATGAGCATACACGCACGCGCACACACCCATGACCGTCAATCCGGAGAATAGCTTAGCCTCTCTCACGCCGCCCCCTCACGGGGTCCCAGTTAATGGCATACAAGTTTCTTGTGTTTTCAACCGCTCTGAGACTGGAGCTTTTTTCATAGGTAGGCTGGTTAGCGCAGTCGATGCCAACAATGAACAAACACCAATGTATGGGTGTTCCACGCTTCTTATCCCGCCATGAGACTCCTGTGCACTATCAACTGGTCAGTCGTTTATCGCGGTCGATGCTACTCAGCACAAAATCAAAAAAAAAAAAAACACACGCACACACCACGTGCAGCAGGTGAAGACATGAGCCGAGCACGGGCCCACTAAGGTCTTGGGCCGGACGCGGGAGCCGCTGGAGGACCGTAGAGAGCATGTGAAAACCATGCACCTAGGGGGGGGGGGGGGGG